GATAGTGTAAGGAGTATGTGGTCTTGTTAATAGAATTAGACTATTAAGTTATAATAGAAATATGATGATTTTGAATGAAGTGAAAGGTAAACCTGATTGAGATAGCAATTCACCTGCCCTGGCCAGGCATGATGAAGAGCGGACACATCAGGAAATGCCTCGTAAGCTCAAATGATAATTTCAGGAATTTGAAATCATATAAGAATATTGATATAAGGTATTTATTGTTTTGAACTGGAAAAGTGATATGGAGTAATTTTGTTATTTTGTGGATAAGATAGAATATGGTGAACAAGTATCACCATAAGAGCGTTAAAAGATCAAGTGATGTGGTTATCATTTGTAGAAGAGTTCAAGAATAAATGCATCAATGATATGTTTATAAGATGAATGAAATCAGAGTTATGGATTTGAAACAAATGGGTAGTATTGTGTATAAGCAAGAGTGTGAATATGATAAGGGTTGGTACTTTAGAAGAAAGAGTTAGCGTTGGCTAACAAGATTACATGATGAAAATTGTGTTGATTATATGATTGTGATATAGTGAAGGAAATAATGATTCTTATGTTTGAGAGAAAGTAAGGGAGTATGAAAGAAAAGACATGATCGATGTTATAAGGATATTTTGATTTATGGAAAGTAATGGAATAAGGAAAGAAAATGATAGAGTTTACAGCATTAGATATGATAAGGGTTATACAAGAAGTATCGATTATAAGTTTGATATAGAAATGAGAAAAGTGCGTGAAGTAATATAAAAAGATCATGTGTATTAAAGTACAGACAAGGATTAAGAAATGATGAAAGGTCAGATGTATATGATTGGTTAATTAGGGCTTGTGCCCTAGATTGAATAGTTGTTATTAATTAGTTGTAATATTAAAGGTGATAGAGTTATAAGATTTGGAAAAGATATAAGATTGAGTTAATTAAGTATAACGTGGATTTGGATTTGGATTTGGTAAGGTATTCTGAGTATGTAAAAAAAGATAAGGATTTTGCATAAGAACAAAAATTTTGGGCGATTCATACAGATTATAAGAGTTACGAAGATGCGATGAAGATCAATAATTAGAGATAAGTATAAGCGATATGAAAAGAGTATGAGAGCCTGAAGAAAAGATATGATATATGTTACAATGAGGTTTTGATTTGTGAATGAGTAAAGGGATAAGGAAATTAAATGAAAAAGGAAATTAAAGGGGTAAGTATGATAAAGGTTATATAGAAGTGTAGCTGATAAGTTCGATGTAGAAATATGAAAAGTGTGCAAGGAGATGTGAGAAGATTGTTTGATTATATAAAGTATATATTTAATCACATTTGAAGAAGATTTAAAGTTTGGTATTGTTATAAGGTAATTTGAGAATAATGAAGAAATCGATGGATTAATGATATGGGTGATGAGAATAGAGGTTATTGATTATATGATACGTGACAGTGGATGAATATATATAAGGGAAAAAGGTAGTTGAAGAACTAAAGGAATGAAAGAGCAAGTAATGGAGATAACATAAGAACATTAGAAGATATGTTCTTATCAATGTGTGCAATGAAAATTCGAGAATGAATTTTCTTAAAAGGAGGGGAGATTTGTGACATCCCAATCTATGGGTTAGTGACTAAATTGTAAAATTTTAGAACTTGGTGACTAAAGTAGAAGAATGGAATAGTTCAATGATTCATTTGGAAATATTACCTGAAAAAGGTAAGTAATTATTAAAGGGAAATAATTAAATTAAATAAAGGTTATATATTAACCACGTGGAAAGGAAGAGAAATCTACAAGCTTACAGAGTTCACTTTCTCTTCTTCTTCCTTTATGCGTGGGAACCCAAAACAAAGGTGAGTTTCTGGTTAGTTAGTTTCTTGTTAAATTTAAGATTGGTTTATGATTATTAGATGATAACTAAGCTTAAGGAAAGCTTAAGTTATCTTAAAATCAAAAGATGATGGAATTAGAAGAGATTAAAGATTGTGAGTTTTTGAATGAAATTTTGTTATAGAGTTAATAATTAGAATTGGAAGTGGATTTGACTTGTCATCAATCTAAATAAGGAATAGGAAGTGTTAGGATGAGATTTAGAACATGTTGATATTTGCGTATGATTCTTGAATGCCATATAAAGGATATGATTTGAAGGTTAAAGAAGTGATTATTGAGTAAGATTGAGTGTGAATATGTGTATGAACGTTGGGAATATAAAAAGGGGTGAAAAAATAAAGAGTTGAGAGGATCATGAAGGGATTTTCGTGCTCAAAGTATCATTTATGGGTTGTGTGCATCCATGCACATTCAATGTGTATCGATGCACTCTCAAATAAATGAACATCGAATGCAATTAGTGCATCGATGCATAAGGAGTGCATCGATGCATAAGGAGTACATCGATGCACCTGCTTAAAATACAAACATCGAATGAGATTTATGCATCGATGCATAGATAGTGCATCAATGCACCCGTAAAGGGATGCATCAATAGAAGGTATAGTGCATCGATACATACATTCATTAAGAGTTGAAATTAGCCTTTCTTTTAGCCTAAGAAGTGATGGTTAATTAATATACTGATAAGTATCAATGTATTACTATGTAGATATAAAAGGAAAACTTGTTTCGAAATAATCGAAGGATTAGGATTGAATCAAAACAAACAAGGCGAATGTGAGTGCATATGATTATAGTATATGATTATATGGAAATTAGACTTGCGATGAGTCTATTTCCATGTTTTGATTTTATGAATGCATGAAAATAAGTATAGTTGGTAGTCGTTAGTATGTGGATATGTATTGTTATGTTCTTTTCTATGTGATATGATTTATGTGATGATGTGACTCTGTGATATAAGTTATATGATCATAAATTATGTAAATAATAATGACTTATGTAATGACAAGAGAAAGTGATATAAGCTATGTGGTATAGATATAAATGATTATATGAACATGTAATATAAGTTATGTGATGAGGATCTATGTTTTTTATATGTCTATGAGAAGTATGTGTTATGTGATGTATATATGAGTTATGTGATCCTATGAGATTATGAAAATAGATATGTGAACATGTGAATTATATGAAAAGTGATATGAATTACATGAAAATAAGCTATATGTCTACATGTATATGTGAAAGAAGCTATGAGCTTATATGAACATATGATATGAAAATGTATATGTGAAATTATATAAGTGAAAATGCCCATGTTATGTGTATTGAGAGCTAGAGGTATAGTTGGCATGCCAAGAGTCGAGGGTCTACGCGGTCCTTCGGGATGTGAGTGCATATGATTATAGTATATGATTATATGGAAATTATACTTGCGATGAGTCTATTTCCATGTTTTGATTTTATGAATGCATGAAAATAAGTATAGTTGGTAGTCGTTAGTATGTGGATATGTATTGTTATGTTCTTTTCTATGTGATATGATTTATGTGATGATGTGACTCTGTGATATAAGTTATATGATCATAAATTATGTAAATAATAATGACTTATGTAATGACAAGAGAAAGTGATATAAGATATGTGGTATAGATATAAATGATTATATGAACATGTAATATAAATTATGTGATGAAGATCTATGTTTTTTATATGTCTATGAGAAGTATGTGCTATGTGATGTATATATGAGTTATGTGATCCTATGAGATTATGAAAAGAGATATGTGAACATGTGAATAATATGAAAAGTGATATGAATTACATGAAGAGAAGCTATATGTCTATATGTATATGTGAAAGAAGCTATGAGCTTATATGAACATATGATATGAAAATGTATATGTGAAATGATATAAGTGAAAATGCCCATGTTATGTGTATTGAGAGCTAGAGGTATAGTTGGCATACCAAGAGTCGAGGGTCTACGCGGTCCTTCGGGACATATGTGTTATATGTAGTCCTTTAGAACATCTACGTGGTTCTTTGGGACAAATTCTATGCGCCCCTAGTGGAAATTATACGAGTTGTGGTGACAGCATAGTGCACAACCTCAATAGACTCATATATCTACAGTTCTCACATGTGTACATGGGCTAATAGGAAATAATTTTGAATACAATATATATGGGATATGTATGTTTTGGGATATGAATTATATGACATGATATATGTGTGTTAATGATTATTGTATATGTTATAAGATATATGATATGAACATAATAAATCATATGAACAAGAGAATAGAAATATGAATGATAATAAAATGATAATGATAGGAATGAAGATAATTATATGCATGTATGGATTTGATGGATGAACGGAAATATGTTTGAGTATGCTATGATAGCAGTAATTGTTCAAGCATGATTACAAGTTATAGTCTACATTATATGTTTATTTGCCTCACTAAGTCATAGACTTAGCGTGTAAGTGATTTACGCGTAGGTTTCGAGAAGAGTAAAGAGCAATGTGGAGAAAGACAGGTTAGTCCTCCTTACCGAATGTCAGATCAGAAAAGAGGTGAATAATATGTATTTTTGTATATAAAGTTCTAGTTGGCATGTATTCAAAAGAGTATATGGTATAAGCTCTGAATAGTTTTGTAAACGTTTTGAATAAGTTATATGTAGATGAATAAGTGAATTATGCATGTTCTGATCGGGTTTTTTTGCAATAATGTAAATGTATTTTATGTAAGTTAGTCATTTATATGTTATAAAAGTTTTAAATTACTCATTCTTTTATACAAGTAAATGTTTTGAAAAGTCAATGTGACACCTCGGACTCGTATTCGGGTTGGATACGGGTTGGGGGTGTTACATACAACTTCTCTCGATCTAACAAGGAGAAAACAATGATAATTCTCTCTTGATAAAAAAGGAGAAAACAACTCTCAAGAAATTCTCTAAATTCTCAAGTATTAGGAGAAAGCTAAAATGATTTGGGATGATTTTGAAGCTAAATGGGTTAGGGTATTTATAGTTGAAGCTTAAGGACTAATCTTGTAAATACCCTAAAGTATAATGACTAAATTTGAGATTTTACCATTTTTCAACAAATTAGTTGCAACTTTTGACCATTGCACCGAAAGCTTCTTTTGCCAGCAACCCACCGAAAGTTGCTTTGAATTTGCAACACAAACCTCCTTGGTAACGAAATCAACCCTACGTTGATCTCCAAAACTCTTCAACTGCATTTCCACCCCGACCTTAACTTTAATTTTGTTAACAATCTTCAAAACCCACCAAGCTTCCCCATTTTCCTCCTCGTTTTCACTCTCTTCATCAACTTTCTCTCCGTCTCGACCTTTGATTTTCGACGTCTTGATAAAAGAGGAAGAGGTGAGCTTCTCGGAAGTGACCCATTTGGCTTTAGGGGTGTTACTGTCGATGTGAAGGTACAACTTAACGACGTTTCTAAAAGATGGATTTTGGGCTTTGGTCGATCCGTATTTGAGCTTGAGGGCTTTGAGCTTAGTCTCCACTTCATCGATAGAGGATGGCGTTTTGGGTATTCGATCTGAGGAAGATCTTTCTGGAGTCTCGTCTTTGGAATCTTGGTAATCTTCTTCTTCTCCGTTTTCTTCTTCATAATCCTCCTCGTCTGAGTCTGAAATTAGATCCTCGCGGTTGTGAGTGCCTCCCATTGCTATTGAAAGAGAACTGAACTGTGAATTTAGAAAATTATTTTCTTTTGGGGGATCAAAGGGGAAGGGGAAATGGTATATGCGAAGAGTGCCAAGTTTCGAAATTTGAAATTGTGAGAATATCGGTTTTCAGGTCTTTGGTTTTCCATATTTATTAGGGTTTAGAATTTCGAAAATGAGGTTACTCAGAGGGCTATTTTACGGGTTAACCGTTAGTTGTGGAGCGGCTGAACCTTTCTTAATCTGAATTTAAATCTATTGGTTTAATTTAATTTTACCAAGATCAATCCATCACTTTAATAATTATAAAAAACTAGATGTTGTGAATCATATTTAATATTTGACGATACATTCCCTATCTTACTAAAAAATATCCTCGTTTACCAATTATATATTGTCTAACCAAATTCAATTCTTTCTTGATATGTTCTTCAAAAAATTCGATTTGTGTGGATTCTTTCCCCAACTAACAACTAACAAAGAGATCTTGATGGAATTGCTAAATTAAGCACAATTTTGCAAAGAAGTAACCCACTAACTCCCGATAAGAGATGAGAAACATGCTCAATATCATTTGATTGAATAGTTAACTCAGCTCCTTGTTGTTTGAATAAACCTTCCGCTTCAATTGATATTTTTTCACAAAAAGCAAACATGAGCTAATAAATCCAATCTTTCACTAAAATTTCGAATAGATGTCCTGAGTTCAAGTTGATTATGTTTCGCCTCTTACTCGATGAAAGACGATGAAACAATTCTCAGTAATGTTCATTGCAAACCCCTATTTGAAAAAAAGTTTATATTTCTACGTTTCTTTCACTTTCCTCCACTTCTAAAATTCCTTTCAACTTCTTAATTTATCATTTCGGATTTAATATTCAAATGTCGTTATAATAACAAATGAATATATTATATTACATATTAAAATAATCTTAATAATCGATAAATATTTATTTATTTTCGAATAATATTCATACAAATCAAACCTAACAAGTAATCCTTTCAGTACATGTTCTAGGGATCAGATTTAACATCGAAATGTGTGACCGTGTCACTTCTTTACCCACACGGCATAGTCTTTCCCTGAGGTAGCAAGCTGATAGTTAGAAGGTACGAGGTTCCCGAGGTCCATCTTTGGGCCAATTTTGGTAATGATTTTCTCATCAATTACAGCCACATACAGATCAGAATCAGAGGCTACAATATTCACTTTGCTTGTTTCACTGATTCCATTGTTCCTCCTTACTGCTGACAGTTTAGTAATCTCGTCCTTTAATCCCCAATCAACAAAGTGATCATAGAACTGCACATCACAAATTCAACCATTCATCAGGATGCTTTATAGCACAAGTAGGGTAAGCTGTACAATGTGTACAGTACAAGGTCAAAGGGGGCAGAGAATGAAGAATGGATTATAGATAAAGAAATTCGAAAATAAGGATGGGAAAATTACTATTGATGGAGTGCCGGGATGGGTGAGAATATAAGCATAGCCCTGCATGACTTTATCGGATGGGAAAGGCCAAAGCCTCTGAGTAGAGCCCGTGTCATGATTATCAATGAAAGTCACTGCATTTTGAGGCAAAATTCTAATCATTCTAGGAGACTTCCCATTTGAATCCTTCAACCTCCATAACTCCCCTTGCACTGCTGCATTGAGAACCCCTTTCGTGGTGAAATCAAATGCTTTTACAGCCCCACCTGCAGCTTCAACCCAGACTTTTAATGCTCCACGATGTGAATCTTGACTATCCTGCCCCAAGGAAAGATCTTCCCATTTCTCCCCTACAGCAAAATCTGGTGATGTTCGTTCCATATAGATTTTCGTAATGCTCGGGGCATACCCTCTCACAAAATCAAACCTCCAGTCTTTAACCAATTCATCCAATCGGATAACTCTTGTTGTACTTTTGGGTTGAGATGATCAATTTCGGGAGCTGGTTGATAATCAAGGCCGGTGTCGGGGTTGCCCCGTGCCATCTGAATAGTCCTTATCATTGCCACAAATGAAAGATGGCCCCCAGTCTAATCGATCATCCGGAGTTCCACCTTCGAAAATGCAATATATTCCTCTCCCATCTTTCCTCTCAGCTGTTCTATGGTTGATAACTATGTCAGCTAAACATTTGATTCCCTTTTGATGGAAGGCTTGAATTAGTGACTTCAACTCAGCCTAAGACCCATACTTTGATGCATCGAGATCATATAGCCTTCCTGGCAGATATCCTGGATTTTAGTTGGAGCAAACATGGAAAAATATTTATTACTTGCTTCCTTAATAGCAATTGAAAGTAACAAAATAAAAAGAGCAGGGAGGTGAGAAACTGGAGAGAGCAAACTAAATAAACAGAAATGATGCATGTGCATGTCTGATATTTCTTTTTCATGGTAATTTAGGTCAACTGTAAAATCTCTTTCATAGCGAAGGTACAAATGGAATCGTAATTGGTTTCGTCGGTTCATTAGCACAAGTAATGCCTTAATGGAAAACTTGAAATACCTTGGGGTCCAACTGACTGGGAAGGTGGAGGAAGCCAGACATGAGTAACGCCGGCGTTGGCAATATCAGGGATGAAGTTCGTGAGAGAGTTATACCAACCTCCAGCCTTGTTACATGATTCCCAGTTGAACCCCTGCACGTTATCATCAAAGTTATCGACAACAATTAGTTGAGAGTTCGGCATAATATATGCATATACATGTATCATGTGAACTGTTTCTGTTGTTGCTTTCTGCAGATACCCGCTGTATCAACTTAATAATCGATAAAAATGCCTTCGCAGATATGTGTTTGTACAAGGGGGAAAGGGGAGATGACTAGTTGAGTGCAAGCTATACCTGAAATAGCAAGCTTGAAGATGAAAAAGCTGGAAATATATAGAGGAAAAGAGAGAGAAAGAAAAGCGAACTTAGAGAAGTCATTCTGTTAATGCTGGTTCCTTTAGGCTTGAGACGAGCTTGGTGAATGGGGTGATATGTTGCGGGCTTATATAGGCACCAATGCCTGTTTCGAGATTCGCCATAAACATACGGGTTCATACATTGTGAACAATGAATCCGAGAAACCGGAATAATAAAAATCTCAGGAAACATATATGTTTCTTATCTTCTTCAATCTGGATTCACAAATAAGTCATCTTTATTAATAATTTCCATAGACATTATCCTCTTATTTGATTCAGGATATAACAGCCAAAGATGTTGGACTTTGCTGAGAATAATGAGGGGGAAGTGTTTACACTAAAACACTTATGGCGACTGGGATAATGACTTCATCTGCCATAAGGACCGAAATCAGTTGACAAAAACAGACAGTTCTTGCATTCTTGGTTTCCCACTACACTCCTACATTACATGAGAAGAATCTCTTTTCTCACACGAAATTATTATCATTTACTTCACGTAAAAATTATTTCTCTTGGCTACACACAAATCACGTTGTAACTTGCAAGTTGTAAGAATTGCAAAAATACAAGATACATTTTTTTATGCCAAAAGAAAATATCATGTAAAATTCTTTAAGTGCATGTGTAGACCGGCAACGTTGCCATCCTACAGCAAATAATATCCAGGGATACTGTGAAAAGGTTCTTAGTTTGAGGACTGATGGAAAGAAATAATAATAATAATAATAATAATAATAATAATAATAATAGTGAAAAGCTAGTAACATATAGGAAGCAATTGCGGCCAACCTTCATTCACATGAGAAAATATTTTTTTTTAAAACAATATACCTAATATTTGCTCTCTTTTTTAGTTCAAGGAGAGTCGATCTCTAGGATGAGTATATTTACTAGGCTATTATTGAGAGCTCATAATGTTCGTGTTTCCACTTAGAAGTCTTTAATGGTGATTCTGTTATTGTTTAAAGTTTTTTATATATATAATTTAAACATAAACATGTCTTTAATGGAATCACTTTTATGTCAAAATAACAATAAAATTCTTTTTTTCTCGATTTCCAGTTCAAGATTTTTTTTAAAAATATTATATATTAGTAATGATAAGGATGAATTATAATTTAATCAAAAGCTACTAGTTTGGCTAATTAAAGATCCCAATCCTATACTTTTTGTCTCAACTAAAGGGATTCCTTCAATCATTGTTATCATTAAGCAGCCCAAACTTGGAATACTTGATGTAATAATTTTAATTTAGGAAGGAAAATTAAGCAACGGTGACGCTGAGTTTGGAAGAAGAGAGAAAAATCTGGTGAAATTTCATAATTTATTGGACCCACATATGTATTTTATAGAAATTGAATTGTTTTGTTAAAAAGCAGGTGGAATTTCGCTTAACTTTTAACAATAACAAAACAAAAGCCACATATAAAGGTGAGAATCAAATGCCAGAAATATTAACCGGTGCTTGTGGATTTCAAGGATTTAAATTTGGCAGGTTTCAAAATCTCCGTGAAACTTGATACATGGTTGGACCACGACAGGGCCACGAATGCAGCCCCCTCATGAAAAATAATAAGGTCCCTAAGAGACTCAAATAAACCTCGAAATATGCCATCAGAATCAATGGGAACAACACATAAGCAAGAAGACACGGTGAACTGAACAACAAAGCATTTAGATTTACTTGAAGGGGAAAAAAAGGAACATATTGAAGTTGTTCGATAATCCGAATCCTTATAAGATTATATGCCTTACTATCTAGTAATCCAGTATATAAGGCAGTGGTCGAGAGAAGTGTGCTATAAAAGAAAACAGTTGAGAGAAACACAGATGGCTTCATTTTATAATTTTCCGACTATGGCAACAAACAGAAAGAACTAATACATAACACATTAGCATCTCTGCTCACATCTTTGCAGGCTTTGGGAAAATGTCAGGAGTGAATTTCTGCGCTGCACTCAAGCTCCCCTTAATCTTCATTGCACCCCTGCATCGTCATCATTGTATTAATTAAGGAGATGCTTGACTTTGGAAACCCACCATCCTCCAAGACAAAAGAAATCAATAATATTAGAGGGCAAAGATAAAGAAATTAGAGAATTTTACCTCATAAAAGCCATCTGGGGATTCATCTTTCCAGTGGCTACCTTTATGAAATCGTCATCCTTGAAGGAAAAAATAGCATCAGGCTTTCCCCCTTCATATTTACCTACATTTCAGAATGATAGGATAAGGAACACCTTTATACTGAAAAAATATAGCATTTTACTAATGAAACAGGAAGGGCGACTTGATTGTATATATCTATGAATGGATACAATCATACTCGAATCTCCAAGAGCAAGTCACTGAGATAAACATTGACGTATACAAATAGAACAGTCATATCACCAATTTCATATGGCCAAAAACATACTGAAACAGACAAAATTTATCTTTAAAATAAGATAAGAGCGCATATGTTACAGAGAGTTAGGTAAACTCTTCCACCCTTTGAAAAAACTAATAATGGGAAATAGTCCAAGCTGAAAAAAATAATGGACCTTTATTACCATGGCAATAAATAAATAAGTAAAATGATGAAGCTATGGAAGCAATGAAATGGAGTCAGCCTCCGCTCCATTGTCACAGAGAGGGAGAGGTTAATAACCAAATACAGATGAGAGAAAAAGACAGAAAAAGAGCCTTGGCTACAAATCTTATATTACACTAGTTTGCAAAGAGCAATGGACTAGAGGGAAGATACCTGCAAGCAAGCATTTCAATTACAATAAAAGAATAACAAAAACTTCTCCAGATTATAAAATGCAAAAGATACAAACTTCAAACTCTATTCCTCCATAACAGTTTAGATAGCTACAATTTTATCAACGGGCAGAATAACATAAAGTCATAAACAAACCTTCCAAGTCAAAACGAAAGTAAACTGAAAATGAAAAGAATAAAATTGAATTACTAAACATAGGATAAGCTAACCTTTGGTAACTTCTCCTTTCTTGAGATCAACAACGTAAGAAACCTCATCAATCCCCATTTTCTACAAGTCATAAACAAAATCCAGAAATTAAATCAAGCCTTTAAATCAAATTGAAATTTAGAGAGGGGGTAGAGGTAAAAATGCATAAAGGATGGACCTTGGGGGCAATATTGATTTGGTAAACTAGGCCAATCTTCTTGGTGAGCTCTTTACCAGCATCACTAGCCAAGTGACCCTTCATCATCTCAAACAAATTATCGGATTTCAACTCAGAATTCGCCATTGTTACACCAAAGTCAGAGAAACCAAAGAAGAAGAAACTAGAATTTGGTTTTGGCTTACGGTTGAAAAAAATATTTTTTACGACACTGTTTTCCAGGTGATCTGATCGCGTTGTTTCCAAAAAAAAAATCATCTTTTGTGGGTTGGTTCACAGTAGCTTGCTTTTTCAGTTTTCCTCTGGAAGGGGCTTCTGGGCCTTCAAGCTTTGGGTTTTGATATTTTATGATCAATGGGCTAACCCAAAATTATTTTCTCATTCGAGACCTCATTTTACTTATTTTTGAGTACTAATTAGATGTTTTAGTTGTGCACTAAGTAAGACCGAGCATAATCATGTGATTCAACAATGGTCTCAATCATATTAATCAAGTAGAAAGGAGGAAAAGAAGGTTCCAAATTAATTGGAGAACCGGAAACTGTACATGTAAATTCCGTTTGATTTTGTTAGAATAATTATACAGGGATTGAATTTGGGACAAAATGATGTCCCACTAAGACATAATAAGAGAAAACAATGGTTAGATTCCAAAGGGATATTTGGATAGGGTCTGGAACTTGAAAAGCGGATATGGTGTTTGCGTGTCCGTTTCTCATTCGAAGTTTCTTCACTTCTCTTATGTCTCAACTCACAACTCTCAACTGCCCCCAGGTAAGCTGCTGTTCTTTTATTTATTTTCAATTTCCTTGTAATACGATCAACAGTCTCCTTTGCAAAGACTTGCAGTTTTAATACCCAATTTCTTGATTTAGCTGGCTGTTCTTGTCGAAACATGTTTCCCTGTTGTTTATGTTTCTAGCAACTCTGTGAGGACTCAAGAGTATTCGATTAAACTATATAAACTGATAAATATTTTACCTTGTATCTGTTGGTCGATAAGTTTTGATGCTTTTGCTTAGCAGAAAGAAAACAGAAGGAATATCATAAAATTGGGGTGTAAATGGAACATGGATATTGCTTTATTTAGTTCATGCTTGTAGAGTTTTGGAGAAAGATATGAAACCTTCTACTTTTGTTTATAATTCAGTTTCTGACTTAACTGCATTACTAGATAAGCATGAATCCATGGTAGATTGTTTCTTTAGAAAAAGAGCACAACTTTTAATCTCCGAGAAAATTCTGATGGTTTATTTGTTTGTGTTCATATAGATTTATAGAACATTTTTTTTTGGTTCAACAGATTTATAGTGAACTACTGATGGCAGTCTGAGTGATTACCATTTAAGGAACAAGGGGTGCTTGAAAGATAATCTGAAGCTCATCCTCTATAATCATACATTTTGTGTGGTTTCATTTTTATTTTTGTGGTGGAGGAGATTGCTCCAGGCAGTGATGCTAAAGCAGAACATTCTCTCCTGTAATGCTTCTTTATTTTTCAGAAAAAAATCTTTATGGACAACTTAATTATAGAATTGTCTGTACCCTCCCCATCTTACATGATCATCTAAGTCGTGTAAATTTTTGTCATTTGAGGGCCAAAATACAATCTATAACCATAAGTGCGGGGTTGGACTCTTTGGAAATTAGCCCCGCGTTACAACGGAGGTGCATAAAAGGTGTGGCTGATGAAAACCAAGGGGAATTATCTGACGAAGACGACGATCTCTGCCCCGTGGAATGCGTTAGAGAATTTAAAACTGATGAAGAGTTCTTAAAAATTCTTGAAAAGGCCAAAGAAACCAATTCTTTAGTTGTAGTTGATTTTTATCGTACTTCTTGTGGAAGCTGTAAGTACATAGAGCAAGGTTTCTCGAAATTATGCAAGGGTGCCGTAGATGAATACGCTGACGTGATCTTCTTGAAACATAATGTGAGTATCTTTTACATGACCCGAACTTTGAACAGAGTATGTTGATGCATCTATCCCATGTTCTAATTCAGGGCTGCTGTTTAAGAATAAAGGGCAGGAGCGATGAGACATGAGCTCTTGTTATATATTTTCTTCTGCAGGTAGTTGATGAGTATGATGAACAGTCTGAAGTTGCTGAAAGACTTAGAATCAGGGTAATCTCTATTTGAACATTTAATCTCATTCCTTCAAATACTGAGTCATTTATTTGTTAAGATGAATCAAGTTTGTTATGGGAAATTGAAAATCATGACAATTTGTTTGCAGAGATGATTTTATAATAGCTGAAACCCAGTAAAAAAAATCCTCATTTCTGGAGAACACAATTTTGATTTGTGGGGAAGGTCTATCTTAAATCAAGTTGCTAATAAGAAACCGCTATGAAAGGGAAACTTTTGCATCAAAATTAAAAAAAAAATCAGGATGGGATCTGTGGATGCATCCTAATGACAAAGATGACTGCCATGTGTCACTGTATATTAAGATGAATCTGAATTATTGCAGGCAGTGCCTCTTTTCCACTTCTATAAAAATGGAGTTCTCTTGGAAGCATTTCCAACCAGAGACAAGGAGAGAATTGTTGAAGCCATTAAGAAATATACGTCGACAAATGAGGATGCCTAAGCAAATGTGGCAGTACTTTCAAACTTTGCTTTTGAAGAAAAATAATCAGTAAGATACTTGGAATAGATGGGACTAGAAAGTGAAACTGTAATCATTATTTACAGGATGTACTTAGAAAATAGAAAGTGAAACTGTTTTCATTCTACCCCATTGTTTCGGGCTATATGATCGATGGCTTTGTCTGCTTGTTCATTTCCATCTGTCTGTTGAGTTATATGCTTTGAATATTTCTGCTGAAGAATAAGAAGCCTTTAAGATATGGCTTTTGTAAAAATCAGTGTACTTCTCAAGTCAAATACTAGATATGTCATATCTAGAATTAGATGACCAGGAATGTGACACGATTCAAATGAGGGAAAAATCATATATAAATCATATATAACCTGGCCACTTACCAGGCCAGTGCATGATGATTAGGTCTCAATGCCATGTCTAGAATAAAAGATCGCTCTGTAGATAACTTTTGTTCACCTTCTTATGCGAGATTCGAAGGACTCGAAAGAATAGAAAACAGGCAAGCGGGCGATTTACGAACTTGATTGGCTAAGCAGGGTTATGGTAATGCGTTCCCCACATCAGTAAAATATGCTTAAAATATCATGGCCAACCGAACGAAGTAGGTGTTGTCTGGTAATGATTAAAATGGAAAATCGAATCAAGGCTATCAAGCTTTGGTATCCACATCTAATTAGTAGGGTCCATAAGGGAAGACATCTCAAACCGTGGTCTGCAAGCTTGGGTGTCCTTCACAGGATGCTAACCTGCCGGAGACATCATCTATTCCAACTTAGCCAATGGTTGTTTGAAACAAGGGCGTGGCTGAGGGGGCGCAAGGTGCGCGACTACGCAGGGTCCCAAAAATTAGGGCCCCGAAATCGAATATATTTATCAATTGTTGTCATTAATAAGCATAAAAAATAGGGGTCCCGAAATCGAGTATATCTATCAGTTGTTACCATTAAGAAACATAAAAATAGGAGCCCCGATATCGAATATATCTATCAGTTGTTGTCATTAAGAAGCATAAAAATAAGGGTCCCGAAATTGAATATATCTAGAAAATAGGGGACCCTTTATTAAAATTTGCACAGGGCCCCCGACAACCTAGCCACGGCCCTAGTTTGAAATGTGTCTCCCTTGCAACCCCTGGCAGAGAGCTCCAAGGGTACATAATAGGTGTGGTCATGATTCATGGAAAACGGCAAGCTATGAGTACTAAAGCATGATGTTTACTCCTTTCTGAAAATGATTTGCAGTTAAACGTGAAACTTGGAATACTATTTGTTTGCTAATGGAAGCCTTTCGATTACCATAAATATCAATTTTGGAGCTACAAATCGCTTGCCGCTAAAAGAACAAAGAAAGGCTTTGAATGACAACTAGAATGAACTGAAAACTGAGATGGATGGGAAAACAACTTGCTATCCCCAGTGCGAGTAAAAAGTTTTTTACTGTAGGGGAGCATTGCATTACTGCTGTTATTATAATCCACACCCATCATCCATGCCTGCCTTTTCTATGTTGTGGAGTCTTTCCAAAATCTGGTGGGAAGTCCTTGCACAGGAACTGGAAATGGGCCATACTGAATCCCACTTTCGGATCCTACCACTTCCCATCTGCAAAACCAAACAAAAGTGTTACTGTCAGCTGTTATTATTTGCATACAAGAAGTCCTCTTCCAACAGCAGTTATAATTCGTTTTTCCGTTGTTTTTTTCCATCATTTTTATGAATTTAGTCATCTTATTTCGTATAGCCATCAACATAAACAAGAATATCATTTAAGGGTTGTCTAAAAACAATCATATAGTAGAACATTCCCTTAAAAATTGATTTATATTGTTTGCACTTTGATTTTCAAACAACATACCTGAAGTTAGAAACCAAGTGGTGGGTCACTATAAGCATCTCCAACTTTGCAAGCTCATTTCCAGGACAGGCATGCACTCCACTGCCAAATGGCATGAAAGTGTTGGATTTTGGGGCAACCTACAACAAACAATGAGAATAACTCATCTAATGTATTGCAACCAAAAGAAACGCCTTTAATCATAAGCCATAAACGATTATACCAAACTCATAAATGAACCAGGGAAATGAAAATATCCAAACGCATTGTATATGTGGAAAACACTTTAGTGTGTGTTCATACCTCAAACCTTGAAGGATCGAATTTCTGGGGATCGGGGAAAACTTCGAGATTGTGATGAATGTTTCTGAACAGAGGCATCACTTTCCAACCTTTCGGAATAAGGTAACCTGTTGGCAACTTAAGAGTTAGCAATTGCCTTAAATGCCATTTTTTGTACATGAGTAGATTTATTCTTACCTTTATATTCCACATCAGCAACTGCTTCTCTAAATGTGAAGGATATGATGCTTGCCATTCTCAGTGTCTCTAATATAACCTGGCCGAGTTAAATGCCTTCCACTGTTAGCCAAGATTGACGGGTATCGGATTCAACAAAGGAATAAATATCACGGTGTAAATCATTATGATTGACGGTTCCCGGTCACCTTGTAAGTAATTGGCATATTCCTTGTGTGTGACCAACTCAGCGGCTGATCGCTTTCTTCGATCAATCTTTTAATTGCCTTGTGTTCAGCCTACAAAGACAGACT